ACACACACACACACACACACACACACACACACACACACACACACACACACGTGTTTCATCCATTTTGTCTCAATGTTCAGGCATAATGAAGATCAGCTTAGCATGGGGATTAATGTTACTTGGATTGAGGCCTGTCAGATGCCATTCCTTTGCCCGGTTGAAATGAATGAAGTGCAGCCTGAATAACTACACAAGTGTCATGTACGTACTGCACTCCTTGTGTTTGAATTATTTTTAGCTCTTTTTGTTTATTCAGGTGTGGCCAACACATCCGTAAAAAGGATGACTATCTCATAGCAGCAACAGGTGGGGCAATCCAACATGTGACTGCAGATGGTGCAAAATTTCAGCATAGTGGAAGAAAAATGTTGGACATTTCTCTTTTTTTGTGGTGCATTAGGTTAAACATGTAGCTAGAAGCAAAGTATAATATTACAATGCAAGTCAGCCTTTCTCAACCTTCTCACCTCAGAGGAACCCGTGAAATAGTATTTAAGTCTAAGGAAACCCCTGCTAAAAATGATTATACCTGCAAGGTTTAACTTAAAGAATGCATAAAGTTGCATACCGGTTTGACAACCTACATGTTTGACACTCAGGGCACCCTCTACTCTATACAACAAAATCATTTTCAGTGACAATCTTGAAATTAAACAAATAAATCTGCCAGCATAGTTGAGCCCCCTTACATTGGTGGTTAGTGGAATATTGACCCCTCGTACTTTTGGTGGGAGATCAATTGCCTCACTATTCAAGCAACCTCAGGAGGAACCCCAGGGTTCTTCAGAACTCTGGTTGAGAAAGACTAATATCAATAAACAGGCAGAATAAGAAGAAAAAAAAAAGGGAGGACACAAGTAGCAAAGGGAGAGTAAAATAGAAGAGAAAAGCGTGAGAACGACTGAGGGCCTTGTTTACAAAATACTGAGACGACCTGTGTTTTACTGCACTGATTCAAACACATGTCACTGCAAGGATACACAGAAAACAATTGTCTTCTATTTGCCCCATTCACACCACAATGCGTGAGTGATGGGCAATGTGCTGCAATAAAATGCGAACATGCTGCATTTTACTGTAGCGCACTGTTTGCCACTGCAGAGAAGTGCTGCTGCTCCTCCTTCCAACACAACCTGCACTAAAATCATCAGTGTCAACGGTGACATCGCTAACTCCGTCTTGTGACAGTGCTCCAGTCTAGCAATTGGCTGCTTTACCTGAGCACTATGACTTTGGAGGAGGTCCCATGCTCCTCCATATCCGGAAACACCAGGGGAAAACCTTTTCAAAGTCACTGCTACTTTGCCCTGAATGGACAAGATGACAGTGCCTCTTTAAAGAGTCAGAGCATGGCGAGGTGGGCATGTATTAGAGAGATGTACTGCACATTGTTCTTTTTTTTTGCCCATATTAAATGTAGATTTAGAGGTGACCGTTATTTCGCCTACTACTGTATATGATAAGGAGTTGTGATATAGTGTTATGCTCGGAAAAGCAGGGCATTTTATTCCTTAGGTCTACTATTGAGGAAAAACAAACCCTCTATTTCTGTATTTCCCACCATAGGCATGAAATCAATGTGCGTATGGCAAAATCATCAGCTGGCTTGTATCTTTGTATTAACATTTCTTGCAATTATGCCCATTTTCCTAGGCACAAGATTATAGAATATTGCAAGAGAAGCAATATATAATACAAGATCTACTTTTATAGCATTATCTAATGAGCTTGACTATATTTTCCTGGACTCCAAGGACAGTTTTAATACTTGCCCTGTAAGTGGACTGTGTGTAATAGGAAATCAACAGAAATACAGGAAGGGAAGCAAGATGGCAACTTTGCTAAATGCAATTTAACCCCTTCATGACTGAGGCCTTTTTTTCATTTTTTGTACCCATGTTATATTCCAAATTTTAGGCCTGAAAATTACTTAAAACCCCCCAACATTATATATTTTCTGAATGCCAAGACCCTATAGAATAAAATGGTGGCAGTTGCAAATTTTTATGTTGCGCAATATTAGCGCAACTCCTTTTTAAACCCCAATATTTAGTGAAAAATGTAATTAAATGCCCCAAAACACAACAAAATACCCATTTTTTAAATGAAATATAAAAGATGAGGTTACATCGAGTAAAACGATACCCAACATGCCCAGGTTACAAATTGCGTGCATCCGTAAAACGGCGAAAAACCCCAGTACCCCAAAAAGTCCATAGAAGACGCTTTAAAAGCCCCCACAGGTCATCAATTTAGAGATACCCCAAAATACTGGCCCTAGAATTATTAGGGGCAACGGAGCCCGGGAAGCACGGCGGGGGTGTCCGGCGGGGGGGGGGCTGCCCCTTCTTCGGGACGCAGAAGCGATCTGGCGACAGGTAAGTCGCCAGGATCGCTTCTGTTGTAAAGCCGACAGTCGGCTCTACAAGTTTAAACAGAGTCCCGGCGGCAAAAGTCACCGGGAGTCTGTTTAAACAGCCCCGATGCTGGCGACGTACACTGTACGTCGTCAGTCACGAAGGGGTTAAAGTATAATGCTGGCTGTATACTTGGTGTGAGGATTTAACAGGTTTTATTGATACTTGACATCATCAGGTAGTATATAGATTGGTAGATTTAGTCAAAGTGTCTCCTTATCTAAGAAGAGAGAAGCTGCACATTATGGAGAAGCTCACAGCATGCAGTGAAATCAGCACAAGCAATTTCAATACAGGAGAGGAGCCTGTACAACTGTTAGACTGAAGGTAAGGCTAGAGTTCAGCCTTAAGTGGTTTATTTTAGGATTCCTTTTTCTGCATTATATAACAAGTGTTGTGTATTAGTTTGTTTGTGAACCCCATTACCCACCCAGGATACTCACCGACTCAGGAGCTTTAATGAACACTTTTGTTTTTCCAAGCTGGAACTGGTCAGGCTCCATATTGACAGAATGCAGCAAATGGAGGACACCCTTTTTCTCATCTCCACGCCATACCGGCCAAGTCTCTTTGGTCAGAATTGCATATCTGTGAAGGAAGTGTATAAATATGTTATATCTTACAGACCATGATAATCCATGTAATACATCTCTATAGTAAAAGGAAAAACTAATTATTGGTATGGAAGATTTTTCATCATATCCGATATTGTTTAATGTATTAGGGACACGTCAGTTAACACTTCAATAACCCAACAGTCTCAGGCCATACTCATATTCATCACAGTACCTGCCCTTTATTGGGCTACGTATGCATAACAATTGGCCACGCTAGGATTACCATTCAGCTTCAATTGATCATTGCAGTATTTTACAGGTTTTATTGATGTACAGTTTACAATCTAATACTGCTAAATCATTGTGACAAAACACAGACCAGACTGGGGCCAATTTATCTCATGGTCAATTAGTGTTCAAGTTCTTTAGATTCCAGGTGGAACCTGCATATCCACAGGAAACACTTGGAGAACATTAAGACACTTTGTATAAGAAGGACTGAATGTAGAGTGAGGCAGACGATTTTTCGTTTACATGTGAAATCGGCGATCTGTGCTGTGCTGTGCTCTTCCTCTCACACGAGTTCCAGCACAGTGCTGTGCTAGAACTCCTGTATTGGAGGTGACAGTGTCAATAAAGAGAACCTGTCACCTCCAATTGCTATTACACAGGGGATTGTTTTCTCCTGTGTGATAGCAATAAAGTTAGGTGAAAAAAAATTAAATTGATAAAAAATTTAAATAAATAAAAAAAATATGAATTAAATAAAAAAATAAAAAAGTAAAAAAAGAAACAAATTATTAAAAATTAGAAAAAATAAACAGTAATAAGATAAAAAAATTATAAAAAAGTAAATAAGATAAAATACATATTTAAAAAAATTAAATTGACAAAAAAATGAAATAAAAAAATAAGAAGAAATAATAAAAAAACCTGTCCTTGGGGCGGCAGGGAGAGTAAATCAGGCCCTGTCTGTGTCCCTCCAAACACCACCACCTTTGCCAACACAGGCGGGGGAGAGCAGCGGGGATCAGAAAGGACACAGATCAAAGCTTGCAGCAGGCTCCCAGCCTATAGTATAATTTTCAGCTGAAATGTTTCAGTGGCCGAAATTTTGGTGTGTCCCTAATTACATATGTATTAAGTAGGGATGTTCAGATACCAGTTCAGATACCAGAACTGGCATTTTCATGAGAACTATCAGGGTCGCAGTGGTTGCAGCTGGGACCTAGCTCTGGCACTCTACCACTGTACTGAAATCATCAGTCTGTATTGTTTTAGAAAAACAGTCACATGACAACAAACAAAAATGTATCAGTACTTGTATCTGTGAGTACTTGGGACAAGTATCAGTACTTGAAAAAAATGGCATCAGTGCATCCCTAATACAGTATATTATTTATAAAAATATAATAATAATCATACATTAAAACAGGGATGCACAAATCCCAGGAGCCCAGTATCTTCCTTAAAAATGACAGCTGCCTCCCAACTTTTGAGTTTTTCTCTAGTCTAGCCTTGGAGCTGGAAAAGTACCTGTACTTGTACGTAGTACGGCACTTGGTATCTGAACATCCCTAGTATTAAGTCAAAAGATAAAGTGATCTTACTATGCACAGATTGCTGCTCTGTACCAAACATATGTTTGCATGTAACTGACAACAAATGATTGACAATCATATCCTTACATTTATTGGCAGTCTCCTATGGTTTTTGCTTAGATTTCTTATCCAATGTCCTTAGTGAACATGGTGACTAAAAAAAAGTAGTAGATTAGAGCTGCAGCTAACGATTATTTTCAAAATCGATTAGTTAGCCGATTATTAAGTTCGATTAATCGGATAAACAATTAAATAAAGTTTAAAAAATGGCTCCAGTGATAGAACTACTAGTTTGTATTGAGATTGTAGTCCATCACAGGAGCAAGCTTGGAGCGGTGGAAGTAAAAAAGAAAAAAGATAGTGTGGTGTGCAATATAGTGAAATGGAAAGTGTAAAATTATACAGCAATGAAGATTACCAGCTAATGTCATGCTACAGCAAACAAAGAGGACTGATATCGTGGCAACTACCAAACTAGTGCAAGCATGAATATATCAGTTTTATATGTGTACACTACGTAAATGAGTCATAACCATAGCAGTGAATGTGTGCAAGCAAACCATGATGCTGCATTACGAGTTTAATTGTAGAGATCAAAACTGATATTTGCTTGTTTATTAATGGGAAACATTGCTTGACATTTTTTCCCAATTTTTAAAGGCTGCTTGCTCTCTATTCATTTTCCATATTTTGAGTAAGGTTGAAATAAGCCGGTAAAACCTGTTTGATACAATTCACAAGTTTACAAAGACTTTCTATTGATTTCTCAATGTAAAATATTTACACTATTCTAAGCCTGTTGTAATCCATTATACTCAGTGGGATGAATCTGGAGCAGTAAGTTTACTTGCTGTAGTGTGATTTGTATTTTCTTCACCACAACTCCAAATTGTAAAAACGGGTAACTTTTGCAGTGGGAAAACCAGGCTTACCTGAT